ATCCCGTCTTTGAGCGAGTAAACTTTCCACTTTGTTTTGTACATCAGGCGAAAAAAACAAGGAATACAAATACAGGGCAATGTTTTCCTATTACGTTGGAGACCACATGCAACAATTTGGGCGCTTTTGAACAAAATAATCATTTTTCACCTGAAGAAGTCACTTACGTCGGTCTTGCACCAAGCCATTCAAATACTTCTATGTAGTCGTTTCATGCTATGGAAACCGGGATAAGCTCCGGCCTGGTGGACCACTTGGCTCATATGCAGACTTTGCCTTTTACCTCTTATAAAGTATAGGCTGGGTATATGTGTACCTGGACACTTTGAGCTACAGTGCAATGAAAACATGATAAAAAAAATTAAAGAAAGCAGAATTAGTTTTTGAAATGCTTTGCTACCCAGTGTGAAAGTAGGGTTAGTTCTCTACATCACATGCGTTTTGTTTACCATCACCTGTTGTCAAAAAGTTACAATTAAACATCCTCTAGACTGACTGACTCTTAAACTGACTATCAATGTTCTTATAAAACAGTGTCTCCACCAGACCCCGCCATTGCAGGAAACCCACATTGCAATCAGAGAGGGTCCCCAGAAAAACGAAAAAAGGGCCAATTTGGCCTTTTTCTTTTACAAGGCTGCAGGCTTAGCACAGGCATACATGTAGTATTTTAAAAGCCATATCAGGGTTTAAAATTGCGACCAATACAGTGGTCAATGCAAATAACAATCCATCTTAGGCGGTCAAAAATTCTCGTTTAGTGGCATGATAATAGCGACTACATTTCTCTGTATTGACGATCAATAACGGTTACTTTGTCACACGTTATGTCCTTCTAGAAAATTATATTGATTAAAGATCTTTGCTTCTAAAACATTCAACATATGAAAAGAAGTCAATGCATCCTTTTGCTTTACTCAATGCTGTATTGATTCTCTCAGTATATCAGAAAACTTCCAAATGGCTGGCAGTGCTTGAAATCGCCCTATAATGCATTGCAGACCCTCTATCATTGACTGAGTCATGTATGCCTATGGATTGTTCTCTTGTACTGCATGGATCCTTCATGCTAGTATCTGATTCAAAAGAAACTTTATTGAGTAGACACTTACTATTAACTTTTATCATAGATCCTGATAAATGGCTTTGTTTTCCTTGGTACCGTAATGCATTTTTTTCTTCTGTAGCTTTTAATTTATTGGCCCCTTTCCTAAAAAAATGGCCGTAAAAAGATCTTCAGAGGCCACTTTGGCCCTCAAGTAAAATTTTCTGGCTGAAACAGTCTGTCAAGAAAGGTTCTTAATTAAAAAAGAGCACACACTACTTGCAAGTATATGCAGCTGGGAGCATCTAACAATGTTTGCTTTGCATTATTTTCGTAGTAAATCTTAGCCATGAAGGTTCTGGTTCTTACAAGCCTGAACAAGAGATCCTTAATAATGCTACGACATTGAAAAGGTTGAAAAATTAGAGGGTATTTCTAGCCCTTATCATTTAGTCAGTGGGCTTAAACATTAATTAATTACTTGTTTATCTTTAAGATTGACACCTCTATAGGATGGACATCTGGTGCTGGTCCCTGCTGTTTTACTGATCAGTCATTTTACAGCAACTAAATTAAAGTCTCTTACTAGAGACCCTACTTATAAATAATTGCTAATTAAAAACTCTGTGGAAGTATCAAAATTGGCCCAACTAACCTCGTTTTACTCTCAAATGAGGTTAGTTGGGCTAATTTAAATGCATACATGTACAAAAGAATTTTAACCTGGCAGCCATTTATGAATAGGGTCTATAAGATGGACACCTTTCTAAGACAAACAAGGGACACTTTCAAACCATAAATGGACACTTGACAAGTCCTGGTTATTAGTGAAAAATACTTCCAAATGAAAATGTAGATGCACATGTTACATCGAAATTTGATAAACAATAGAAATTGATATCTGAAATCAATACAATACACAATTAATTTGTTACATAAATTGTGATGTTTTCCAAGGATTTCCAGCCCTGAGAAAAGCCATAATTTTAAAATTACAATACATGTAATTTTTCACTGTGATGATATCAATGATGTAATGTTGATATCATGTTTGACCATTTAATTGTACTTAAAGTTGTTGGTGTATGATCAAAACATATTTGAATTGTTTTTGGAAGTCTTCAGCAGTCTTCATCAATCCAGGGTTGTTGCTAAGTGCTGGCTGCTGGCGAAATTCGCTGGCTGAGAAAGAGGTGATCGCCCAGCTGGATTTTGGCAGGCGATCACTCGGTAAAGTCAATGAGCAGTTTTTAGGTTACGCACCTACAATCATTTGATATCTGAATCATATCAAGCTGTCTAAATGAAAGTTTTGGAATAAATTCCTGACTACCTTAAGTATTGGTGCCATTATAACGAGTAAAGTAACTGAAATAAAATCTCGTTTTGAGCACTTGTTTAGCATGTTCTTTCCCTGTACTGCATCTGCCATCTTATAAGCATGAAGCTTGGTAGCCCTGCATTCTAGGAGCTGCAAAAGATTGGGGACAAAAATTTTGGTGACTGGCTCAATGAAAATCTTAGCTGGGAGACTATCTTATTGCCTACAACCCTGGCAATCTTTGGCTATCTCTGGACATCTTCAGAAATTCTAGGAAAATGTTCGAAACACTTGTGTAGCATTTGAACAACTTTTGGAGAATCTTTGGAAATCTTCAAAAAGTGGTCAGAAATCTTTGGAACATCATCAGAAACATTGTTTTTAAATTAGTTTGTTTATAAAATAAACCAAAAAATAGATGGTTGCTTGTAGATATGGAATTTCTCTTCCTGTGTTCATCTTCATATCTCACTCATTCACCATGCACACTCAACGAGAAATTTCGTATAATTTACGTACACCTATATCGATCGCCGCTTGCCTTCGATTGATATATTGATTGTTAATGATTGGCAAAAACAAATAAAAATCAATCAATCGATCTATGGTAATCGATAACATGGCTAATCCTAATGAGTACTTGTTTCACAGTAACATATTTCAGACAATGGCAATGCTGCATTGTAGCTACCTTAAAGTGTCTAGAAATAAAACCACACAAGAATAGCATTAATCGTTAAGCAATAATTTTTATCATTGATTTCAGCATCTAGCCCAGGCTGAGTGTTCATCCCATTCCACTTGTTTTCTACGGGTTTAAAGAGATTTTCACATTTCTATTCATTCCACAACACAGGCAGTCAACTTTCAGCACATGCATTTCAGGTTTATTGATTGACTGCACTTGGTAACTACTAGAAGGATTTCTATTTTTTTGTTTCCTTTGCATCAGTAAATTCATTTGCATGAAAAGTGACATCACTGTTGTTAAGAAGAGAGTTTTGAAGTGGCGTGACGTGCACATGGAAACATTCTGAATTTAAGTTACGCGTACGTTTATTGCGTGTACGAATTTAAGTTGCGTGGACGTTTGTCAGCAGAGTTTTAGACAGTTTCAAGTGAGCAGCTGCTTTGCCTTTTAGAGAGTTTTGTGCTGTTTAGCGTTTACTGTTTTACCAATTTTGAAGTGTTTTGGTCGAGTACAGTTCTGTTTACTGCTCATGAACAACTGTTGTTAAAAATTGGTGACAAATTTTTTTCAATTCAGGATGCTCCAAACTATAGATTTCAGCAAAGAAACTAAAATGTCCCACACCAATTTTCTAAAAAACAGTTTTAGCTGTAGTGGTGCGGTGCTGTGGAACAGCTTACCTACCAATCTGCAGCATGCACAAACTCTTGCTAGTTTTAAATCCGGCTGCAGGGGTTTCCTTTTTCATAATAAATAAGTTAATTAATCACACGGCTATCATGGAAAGCAGGCACTTTGTTATTGTTTTTATTTTTGTTTTTACTAGATTTAATTAGTAGTAGATTAGTATCTTAACAGTGTAATTAATGCAATTTTAGTATTTACTTTAACTCGTGATGTTTTACCCGTGTATAAATAAAGTTAAATAAATAAATAAATAAAGTCTCTTTCTTCTTTTCATCAACTATTCGTTCATATCATCTTGCATCTCCCAATTTATTTACAGTATCGAAAAATTATAAGCGAAATGTATAGCTCTGTCCGTCCTCAATTCCCCTATCTGTTTTTTTGTCTTAAAATATTAATCACAGCACTGCTATATTTCAGCTATAATTATTTTTATTGTACATATAGCGAGAATTTTAGGCAATAAACCTTGCAAATAGAATTCTATATGTGCTATACTTCCACATGTGAAAAAAGCGATACGTCCAATCAGCTTCGCGTATAG